AATTAATTCAGGGATTAAATTTCTCTTTATAGCTGCATGGTCCATGTAAGTAGAAGTTAGTTATCACTGAAGTGTGTGATGCTTCCTGCCCTGCGATTGGTAGATTTCTATTTGGTTCAGGGATTGGGTAACTTTTCAAGACCTTTCTGGTTTGTCAGTAACTTTTTTCCAGAGAAGCAGAAATAACAAGGTCTGCTTCCTTTGCTTGCTTTGTGGAAATGATAATAACATCATCATCAAACATTTAGTTCTTAATATGTGCCAGACATCATTCTAAGTGTTTTATATGTAAAAATCCTTTTAACTTAGTAACAGTGGTTACTATAATCCTTATTTTACAGATGATGAAACAGGCAGAGAGAGATTAAGGAACTTGCTCAAGGTCAAGTTGATCCTGACAGAGCCAAGATCTCACCCAGTTAGTCAGGTGCCCAAGGCCATTATCTTCTTCACTTCAATACTCTGTCTTTATAAAGGGAAGTGCTTCAAGAGATTTTATCAGGATGGCTGACCACTTTTCATGTCTTGTCAACCATAGGTATAAGAAAATCTCTAATACTGAGTCTGAGTCTTCATCTAGTTTCTTTCTTTCTTTTTTTTTTTTTTTACGGAGTCTCGCTCTGTCGCCCAGGTTGGAGTGCAGTGGCGGGATCTCGGCTCACTGCAAGCTCTGCCTCCCGGGTTCACGCCATTCTCCTGCTTCAGCTCCCGAGATAAGCTGGGACTGGGCGGCGCCGCCACCATCCCGGGCTAATTTTTTGTATTTTTGACGGGGTTTCACTGTGTTAGCCAGGATGGTCTCGATCTCCTGACCTCGTGATCCACCCACTTTGGCCTCCCAAAGTGCTGGGATTACAGGCCTGGCCTTTTTTTTTTTTTTTTTTTTTGTGATGGTCTCAGTCACCCAGGCTGGATTGCAGTGGCACAGTCTCGGCTTACTGCAACCTCCACCTCCCAGGTTTAAGTGATTCTTGTGCCTCAGCCTCCCAAGTAGCTGGAATTACCGGCGTGTGCTACCATGCTCTGCTAAGTTTTGTATTTTTAGTAGAGACAGGGTTTCACCATGTTGGCCAGGCTGGTCTGGAACTCCTCGCCTCAAATGGTCTGCCCATCTCCGCCTCCCAAAGTGCTAGGATTACAGGCATGAGCCACCATGTCTGGCTTTCATCTAGTTTCAAGCATATTCTTTATTGCCTGAAATAGAAATCGCTGAAGACTCTTAATTGCAGAAATGAATATTTTAAATGATATAATTATGGCTTAATTCAGTTTTAATCTATTGAGAACCTTTGCAAATTATTATGTTGAAAAGATGTTACTTAAAATGTTCTTTTCTGCTATGTATTTGATATTTTTAAGTAGCATTAAAACTTAAGAGTACATGACAAATCTCACAAGTTTTGGCTACACTAACTTCTGAGGTCTTTCACAATGCGTATTTATTTCCATGCAGCATGAATAGTGGATTCATAAATGGTGAATGTTTTCCCAGTGAAAATTCTTTTTAAGAAAATATGGAAAAGAAATGTCCTTAAATGGATTGAACATATTTTAGCCTGTCAGGCAGATAAATATGGGGGTGGAGAAGGATGTGAAAAACATTTAGACAGCATTAGGAAGAATTTTATTAAAATAATGATAATAATAATAATTAGCTGGGCATGGTGGCATGTGCCTGTAGTCCCAGCTACTAGGGAGGCTGCAGTAGGAGGATCACCTGAGCCCAGGAGGCAGAGGTTACAGTGAGCTGAGATCACGCCACTGTACTCCAGCCTGGGTGACAGAGCCAGACCTAATCTCAAAAAATAAATAAATAAACAAAAACAGAAATAAAATAATAAAATCCAGGTGTTCGTGTGTGTGTGTTCGTGTGTGCATTTTCAACATTCTGTTTCAGAAATGTTCAGTCATATACAACCATGGAGCAAGTGATATGATGCACTTCATGTACCCATCACCTAACTTCCAACAGTATTTTGTCAGGGCATATTATGATCACTGCCATGAAGACAAATGCTTAGGTAGGTATTACCACTTTTTCTGTACATTGTTTCTTGGCAAAATGCCATTTGAAAATGATAGAACTCGGGCAGGCATGATGGCTCATGGCTGTAATCCTGACACTTTGGGAGGCCGAGGCGGGCAGCTCACTTTGAGGTCAGGAGTTTGAGACCAGCCTGGCCAACATAGTGACACCCTGTCTCTACTAAGAATACAAAAATTAGCCAGGCATGGTATCAGGCACCTGTAATCCCAGCTACTCAGGAGACTGAGGCATGAGAATTGCTTGAACCCAGGAGGTAGAAGTTGTAGTGAGCCGAGATGGCACCACTGCACTCCAGCCTGGGCAACAGAGCGAGACTTCATCTCAAAAAAAGAAAAAAGAAAATGATAGAACTTGAATGTATTTCAGTTCCATGACTTTTTTATTTTTTTGAGGTGGAGTCTCACTTTGTTGGCCCAGGCTGGAGTGCAGTGGTGCGATCTGAGCTCACTGCAAGCTCCGCCTCCCAGGTTCACGCCATTCTCCTGCCTCAGCCTCCTGAGTAGCTGGGATTACAGGTGCCTGATACCATGCCTGGCTAATTTTTTGTATTTTTAGTAGAGACGGGGTTTCACAGTGTTAGCCAGGATGGTCTTGATCTCCTGACCCTGTGATCCAGCCGCCTCGGCCTCCCACAGTGCTGGGATTACAGGTGTGAGCCACTGTGCCCGGCCAGTTCCATGACAGTTTTTAAAAAAGTCAACACTATCTAGTTTTGATTACAACAAAGATCTGCACAAGAACACCAAATCTGTTAAGAATTAGCGAAAACCAGTTTTCATGTTTTAAATGTTTTTTCTCTCTGCTTGGTTAGGAACCCCAGGCATGATTGTGTTACTTGAGCAGTCTCATTAGAAGCAATTATGTGACAAACAGAACTTTTCATTGAACTGTCTAACCAGCCCCTTGGTTCTCAGAAAATGAGTTGTGGCCGGGCACAGTGGCACACACCTGTAATCCCAGCACTCTGGAAAGCCGAGGCAGGTGGATTGCTTGAGCTCAAGAGCCCGAGACTGGTGAAACCCTGTTTCAAAACAAACAAGACAAAACAAAACAAAAAAACTTATTTATCACTTTGGAGGGGAGGTGCCTTTCTGTATTATCATTACATTTTGAGACAGAATCTCGCTCTGTTGTCCAGGCTAGAGTGCAGTGGTACAATCTCGTCTCACTGCAAGCTCCGCTTCCCGGGTTCACGCCATTCTCCTGCTTCAGCCTTTCTAGTAGCTGGGACTACAGGGGTGCCCACCAGCACACCTGTCTAATTTATTATATTTTTAGTAGAGATGGGGTTTCACCATGTTAGCCAGGATGGTCTTGATCTCCTGACCTCGAGATCTGGCTGCCGTGGCCTCCCAAAGTGCTGGGATTACAGGCGTGAGCCACCGCGCCCGGTCTTTCTGTATTCTTGAATGCACAGGAATGTTGGTGAGAATCCCTGAGTTGCACTATAGTCAGCATCATCAGGCATCCTCATTCTTGTGGCTCTCAGCAGATTTTCAGCGGACCCCCAGTTTGGCTCTCAAATTATAGGATACATCAGAATCATCTGGGGAACTTGTTAAAAAAGTGTATTCTCCAAAAAATTAGCAGGACGTGGTGGTGGGCGCCTGTAGTCCCAGCTACTCGGGAGACTGAGGCAGGAGAATGGTGGAAACCTGGGAAACGAAGCTTGTAGTGAGCCGGAATTGCGCCACTGCACTCCAGCCTGGTAGACAGAGCAAGACTGTCTCAAAAAAAAAAAAAAAAAAATGTATTCTCTGCTTCTTTCCCAAAGATTGATTCATTAGATTTGGATTGTATGCCAGTAATCAGTATTTAAATAGTCATTCCAGGAAGGGTGGTATCCTGATTCTAATATCAGGAAAGGAAGTCCTTAAAAGCCATTGCTGGTTTTCACTGGCTACTGCTTTCTTTTCATACTAGGTTTTTTTTTGTTGTTGATGTTTGTTTGTTTATTTAGAGATGAGATCTCACTATTTTGCCCAGATTGGACTCAAAGCCCTGGGCTCGAGTGACCCTCCTGCTTTGGCCTCCCAAAGTGCTGAGACTGCAGGTGGTCACCACTGAGTCCAGCTCTCATCCTAGTTTTACTAAGGTTGGTAGGTGGTGAAAAACATTGCTGAAATTGTTTTCATTCTTGAACATGCTCAATGAGTGTTATGACAACCCCACATAGACTTTTACGGCCTACAAACAGGTTTACTGTCACAGAGGTTGTCTTAGTTCAGGCTGCTATAACAAAGTACTATAGACTGGGTAACTTATAAACAACAGAAGCTTATTTCTCACAGTTCCAAAGTCTGGAGGTTTAAGATCAGGGTGCCACCACTGTCAGGTTCTCATGAGAACCCTCTTTCGGCATGCAGAGTGCTGACTTACCGTATTCTCATATGGCAGAAAGAGAGTGAGCTGGCCTCTTTTTATAAGGGCACTAATCTCATTTATGATGGCTGCACCCTCATGACCTAAATACCTCCCAAAGGCCCTACCTCCAGATACCATCACATTGGGAATTAGATTTCAACATATGCGTTTTTTGGGAAACATTCAGTCCATGACACAGGTGTACTCTTGGTCGTGGGCAATTCAGTTCTGATGTTGTGGTCTGAGGACCACACCCTGACAACATAGGTGCATAGTGGATAGTATAGTTGCAAAGGATCTCGTGTATTTCTCTGTGGTTCCACTAAATGCTTTCGTCCAAGCCTTAGGCCTCCCCCTGCTTGGTCACCTGTTGGACCAACACTAGGTGCAGGAAGTGCAGGAAGCTCAGTTTACAAAAAGTCATCTGGTGCCTCCAGCTCTGTGTAGCTTCCCCTGAAAGAAAAGGAAGCGTGGGGAGTGTAGAAAGCAGTTAGTTCTTCACCTGAGGCTCCAGTTCCAAAACTAAATGGAAACTTTGGTGTTTGGGATGTGCGTTTGACCAAAGTTTCCTTTTGTCAATTTCTCAAAGGAAACTGTGACTCTTCCCCAACTACCTTCCACCTCTTCACTTTCCATACATACAAGAAAGAATGATGTCCTGGCGCAACCTCTGGAGAACAACTGTGGGGCCTCCCCATTACAAAACAACCTCCCCTGTGTGGAATCAGAATTGCTTTCATCTGGGCAGAACCATACAACACACAGCTGGGCTGTGTGGACAACTGTGGCCGACTGTAGGGCTTGCCCACTATTCTGTATGTTCTCCTACATTTCTCTACCTCTCTTGTAGTGGAATTGGTACCACGCAACCACCTCTGGCCTTTGGTGGTGGCCTTTTGAGATTCAACCACCTCAAAGCCAAAGGGCTTTGAAGGGAGGCGATGTGTGTCACTTTCAGTGGGAAGTATTAAAGAGTGAGTATGAGTTTTGACTTTCTTTTTCTGTGCTGGGGCAACCATGGGGGACATAAGTTCTAGTAGTGTCCCTATAAGCTAAAGAAGGGCTGCCAGACCCACAATGAATTTTTGTGAACAAGAAGTAATCTGGGCTGGACACCTTGGCTCATACCTGTAATTCCAGCACTTGGGGAGGCCGAGGCACCTAGCCAACATGGTGAAACCCTGTTTCTACCAAAAATACAAAAATTAGCTGGGCATGGTGGTGTGTGCCTGTGAGGTAGGAGAATCGCTTGAACCCAGGAGGTGAAGGTTGCAGTAAGCCAAGATTGCGCCACTGCACTCCAACCTGGGCAACAGAGCAAGACTCTGTCTCAAAAATATATATATATAGGCCGGGCGCGGTGGCTCAAGCCTGTAATCCCAGCACTTTAGGAGGCCGAGACGGGTGGATCACGAGGTCAGGAGATCGAGACCATCCTGGCTAACACGGTGAAACCCCGTCTCTACTAAGA